TAGAGAAAACCAGGGTATAAAAACCAAGTCTTCTTCTTCCAATGCAAATACTAATATGTTTGGGACTTAAAACAGGCACATACTTCCTGCTATTGCTAATCTCTATAACTCAAGTTTAATCTTATCCATTTCATGTCCTTACTGATCAGTCACAAGCTCTGGCACAGCTGTCCTTGGAAAAGAGCAGTTTGTGTCAGAGTTCTCTCAGCCCCACCTACCTCACAGGGTGTCTGTTGTGGGGAGGGGAAGGGAAAGGAGTTTGTAAGCCGCTCTGAGACTCAAAGTGAAGGGCGGGGTATAAATCCAATCTCTTCTTCTTCTTCTTCTATATGAAACAGACTTTTTAGGAATGCCATAACATTAGAGCATTTTACTTAAAAATCCCAGAGACAAGATAGGCTGCTAAATTCAGACCTAGTTCCAGATTCTAATTTCCTTTATGTCTAAAGATCGTTAAAAGATGGCAGCAGTCACACACACACATTCTGCACTAAAATATAGTTGTGTACTGTGACATGATTGACTCTGTATGCACTATGCAATGTCAGCACAATTTATACATTTTTTGCATGTGCTTATTTTGCATAGTCATAGCATGAGGCAAGCAACTATGTAGGGCACTGAAACCTCTTTATCTGGTATCTGAAAATTCTGTCTTCTCTAGTGTCTGAACAATCACCAGGTCATGCAGCTCACAAACTTTTAAGACCTTCCCAACTATAAAAACTATGCTTTTCTAAAAGTACAAAAAACCAAAAACAAAACAGATTCCTGGTATGGTTGAATTTGGGGGCAATATTATATTGTGCAGAATCCTATAATACACACAGCTTTGGTGACTTTTTTTGCCATCAAGTAGTCACATCTAACTAATGGTGACCCCATGGGGTTTCCAAGGCAAACCATGTTCAGAGGTGGTTTGCCATTGCCTGCCTTCAAGCCACAACCCTGGTATTCCATCCTTGGTGGTCTCCCTTCCAAATACTAGCTGCAGCCAACTCTCCTTAGCTTCCGAGATCTGACGAGATCAGGCGAGCCTGGAGCTGTGCAGGTCAGGACTTGGTGATTCTACTCATTTCTTAATTTTATTAGTTTTCAGATGCTTTCTGAAGTATTATAAGTATTGAAAACAACTGAAATTCTGGTCCTTGTATATGCTGAATGCAATAGTGTATGTATCCATATATGTGTGTGAAAAGAGAGAGAAGATTCACACATGGAGGAAGAGAGAAAAACTTGATTCAGACATAGTACAAAACTATGGTTTATCTTAACTATGGTTTCTTTGTAAAACCTAGATTCAGCTAACAAATGATCATTCAGATCCTGGGCTATCTCAACAAATACTGGTTTAATAGCTTTTACACTTTTCTCTTCAGTTGGTATCCTGGTCTGCGCTGTTGTTAAGGTGCTGCTAGAGAAGAAGCCAGGATGATTGCCATTAGATGTCACAGAAAAGCCATTGTTAATTCTAACTGTGGATAATAAATTACCTTCATACTAGTCTTACCAGGTCTCCTGCTGTGGTGAGAGCCCTCCAAACCTCTGCCTGTTCAGCAAGGGGGGGGGGGTTGGGGGAAATAGTCATGCTGCTACTTTCATGGTAAACTGGAAATTATGTCACCACATTGGCATGATGCTCTAGAATTATGCCAAAATGCAAAACCATATTGTATGGTTTTACTGTAGAGTCTTTTTTTTTGGGGGGGGGAATCCGACAACATTGGGTTTAATGCCAGAAGAGACAGTGCCACATAATTCCCCCTCATACATGCTACCCTCCCACCAGTTGCCAATGACTGGCAGCCCTACTTCAAACTATGATTTCCTATCCTGGTTTGATGGACCCTAACTATCTGAAGAAGTGTGCATGCACACGAAAGCTTATACCCTGAATAAAACTTGTTAGTCTTAAAGGTGCCACTGGACTCACACTTTGTTCTCTTACTACCCATAGTTAGTATAGTGGCTGGCATTTGGATGATGACACTAATCATAGTTTAAATAAACTATGGTTTTATGTGGGGGCTGAACCAAACCAAAGAGAAGTGCTGAGTTCTGCAATTGTATCTATAAATATCTGAGGAGAAGAAGTGACACTAATCATAGTTTAAATAAACCATGGTTTTATGTGAGGGCTGAACCAAACCAAAGAGAAGTGATGAGTTCTGCCATTGTATCTATAAATATCTGAGGAGAAGACATAAGGTCTGCTGTGGATGCTGGGGAGTTTTTTAAATACAGGAATGTGAAACTAATGAAATGGGCCTTTTATCATGACTGGATGCTTCAGGTGGCTGGTTCTCCTGCTAATATGTATTTTTAAATTGTCCCCATGGTATAATCATTAAGCAATTTACTTGCTCTGGAAACAAAGTGATGTATGTGTGAAGTGCTGTCAGGTCACAGCTGATATATGGTGACCCCAGCAAGGGGTTTTCAAAGCAAGTTGAGAAGCAGAGGTGGTTTGCCATTGCCTTCCTCTGCGTAGCCTTCCTTGGTAGTCTCCTTTCAAAGTACCAACTCTGCTTAGCTTCCAAGATCTGATGAGATCAGGCTATGCCATGCTGGCTTCCCTCCCTAACAAAGTGATATTAGGGTCCGAGCGTCGCTCCTGGAGTGCGCGCGTGAAGCTCGTGCATGCCGCAACCACGCCACCCGGAAGTGACGCGACCACGCTGGGGGCAGGGACACGACCATCCGAGTCTCGCCCCCAGCGTGCCCAACATGGTTGCGTCACTTCCGGGTGACGTGCTATGGGGGTGGGGTTCCCCCCGGGGCCCGATCCGCCAGTGGCGGAGAATGGGCCTCTGGGGCGGGGGTTTCCCTGCCCCCCGGGGGGACTTGGCAAGCCAGAGTGATATCCATCATCATATATACAAAAGATTTAAATATCTCTCGATCACACTACAGCTTAGTCAAGAGATTGCCGCAGTTATGTAATTAAGCTATGTAAATCTGGGCTTCAGCCTCACCTTTTTCCTCACACTTTATCATAGAATCAGACTGGGAGCTGCAAGCATGAATATAGTGTGAATGAAGAGTAAGAGAAGAGAGGTGGTGGGAAGGGAGAAGACAATTCTGGAGAGGTCAGATATTGTATCAGTTGTCTGGAGAGGGAGATAAGGCAGTCTTTTCAACTTTTCTGCTCTGCTTTTGGCCCAGGGAGTGTTTTCCCAATCAGCCTTCACATGAGACTTAACATCTATTTTGTAGAGAAAGGATCATGTTTTTGCTGAAGCCAGGCTTCTTATTTCCTATCACCACCACCACATTGTTTGCTGGTCATTGCTCTCCCAGTTTTTCTTTGAGTTCCCCCCTTCTTTTTTTGTGTGGGGGGGGAAATTTGGAAAAACAAACAACGACAAAAACCACCCCCACAAAAAAACCTCAGGAAAAAATGGAAGAACAATTACCCAAATGCACGGTAGTATGTATTATTTATATCATTATTACTATATATGATGATAATTTAAAATGATTAATGTTGTTGAGGCTGCAGTCACACACACTAAATAATCCACTTTCAGTGCACTTTCCAACTGGATTTTTACTGTGTGAACTGGCAAAATCCAGTTGGAAAGTGGATTGAAAGTGGATCGTTTAGTGTGTGTGACCGCAGCCTAAGATTATTTATGAACCTCATTTTGAATATTATAGACTTCTAAGTAGATTATACCTTTGCTATTGCTGGGAAATGATCCCAGGATACTGGGGAGACACTGATATAGAATGCTGTTAGATTACCTAGAGGAGAAATGAACTATGTAAATTCACTTTGGAATTTATGGCATATAGAATAATGCACAATTCCTGGGAATAACAGGGCAAAACAACAACTGCCACCATTGTCTTGTATTCTTGTGCATTTTAAAAATATATTTGAATGTTTAGCTGATTTACTTTAAAAAAAGAAGGAAAGTGATTGTAAAAAACCATCCAGAAAATCTGTTGAACTCTCCCCAACCTTTAAGACTATGCAACAGTGTTCCATAAATATGTAAGTCTCTTCTTGGAACCAATGTGTTTTTATTGGAAAATGCATGAAATAATGTTGAAAGAGAATTAAATTGGTGACAGACCTATACATGCTGTGAAGATTTTATGTAATGCATACGTACACACACACACACACACACACACACACACACTTTAAAATGTTTACTGTAGTGTAAAAGGAGAAAAAATCTGGCTGACCCATCTTTAGAACTCTTTGCTCTTTTTGTTTTGTTCTCTCTGCACCTAAATTGCACCTTTGTTTTATTTATGTTGAGTTTCTTGTTATTTTAAGGGTGGGGGGATTAAAAGATAAGTTTTTAAACCCAATAAATGAATGAATGGAAAGTTCATTACTTTAAGGCACTGTATAGGGACAGCCATAATTAATTTGGAAGTGAAAAATAATGACACTAAATGTCCAAATGTAGTCAAAACACAAAGAAGTTGGCAGCAAGGCAGCAAGGCTGATTCTTTTTTTAAAAAAAATCCATCACATTCTAAGAAATTATACAATCCGTTTAATTAAATAATAATTTTATGACAGTGAATGGAACACTTTTAACCAGCTCTGCTGTGCCCTGTGAGCTGAGGGACATGCTGTATTTTAGGAGCTCGTAATTTTCCTTTCGTTTTCAATCATAGCTTATGCTAAAGAAGCTGACTATGCTCAGGTCTGAATGGAAATCTTTTGGAATGAATGGATACAGAAACAGCAAGCTGACTGTGTTTAAATACTGCAGAATGTCATTAAGTAATTTTCATACTCAGAAGCAAATGTCTGCTATGTATGAAAACAGAGCTAATATTATTATATGACTGGGAAGATGAACATTTGCAAATATTGTTGTCATTGGCTTTTATGCTGGTTACGTTGAGAAGGCATTCAACACTGACAGGTTAATTACATGTTTCAAAGCTTTGTTTATGTGATCTGAGAAGAAAGTGTTATTAAAGAACTATTTTGCATCTAACAGTTTTCATCCTTTCTAATATTTCCTTAGCTTATTACACCTCATGCAATCAGAGTTCAGACACCACCCCGACACATCCCTGGCGTAGTAGAGGTCACATTGTCCTACAAGTCCAAGCAGTTCTGTAAAGGTACCCCTGGAAGATTCATCTATACAGGTAATATTCTTAATTTTTAAAATACATGTAATGCAATATAATCTATCTTCCTTAATGCTGCTGCGTTTAAACTGAGTGTTAAACAGCTAATGTATTTTCCAACATTAATGTTGAGTCACATGACTGTCATGTCCCCCACAGAACCATTTGCCACATGATTTTATTTATCTACATGGCATCTACATGAAACCACTGGGTGAGGTCATCCAGATATTAGGGCTGGATTGTCACAAGTATGCAGATGACACTCAGCTCTGTTTTGTACTCTCTGTGGATTCCAGGGAGGCGGTAGAAACCATGAACCACTGCCAAGAGGCAGTTTTTGGGTGTATACAGGCTAATAAGCTGAAGCTGAATCATGAGAAAAAAGAAGTGCTGTTGGTGAGATCTGACACAGGATTTAAAGTGTTCCTTGTTCTGAACAGCTCTGTAGCTGGACCCAGGTCTACTGTTGGATAAGCAGGAGGTAGCTGTTGCTAGGAATGCCTTTTATCAGTTTTGACTGATTAGCCACCTACGGTCTTTCCTGCAAAGAAAAGATCTGGCCACTGTGGTACCTAGCCTGGCTGGTAACTAGGGTTGCCAGCCTCCAGGTGGGGGCTGGAGATTTCCTAGGATTTCAACTGATCTCCAGGCAACAGAGATCAGTTCTCCTGGAGAAAATGGCTGCTTTGGAGGGTAGACTCCATGGAATTGTACCTCCCTGAGGTTCCTCTCCTCCACAGACTTCACCCTCCCCCAGGCTCCACCACCAAAGTCTCCATGTATTTCCTTTTTTATTTTTTTAAGCCCCCGGAGGGCATTTTTTATTGCATTTCTTATAACACTACAAACTACAACAGAAAATGGGAAGGGGGACTACGTTTATGGGATAAAGAAAGATACGAACTACTGACTAAAAACCCAAGAGAGGAGATCTTCCCACCAGTTTAACCATACATTTAACCATACATTTAGTCTTAATCCTGTTAATATTACTATCAACTGAGTCAAGTTTAGCATTGACTTTTTCAAGTCTTAAAGTTTAACTGTCAAACAGAAACACCCCAAAGCATCTCACTGCAACATTTTTAAAGGCACAATTCAGACTCCTTCAGCTTTTACTTCTCCTTGCCTAATCTCTTCTGAAGTTTATGAGGACTTTTAGGGGCTGCCATCCCTTTCTCTGAAAGAGAGTCCTCCCCGGAAGATTCCGAGTCCAGCTGGCCATTGGACTTACTGTCCTCCCCTTTTTCTCCTTCTTTCCCTGGCCCTCCCAACTGGACTCTTAAAAATTCCCGTGCTTTCTGGACAGAGTCAATCTTTTCTTTTTTTATCCTTGATTTTGAAGGTTATGCCTTCTGGAGTTAACCATCTATATCCAATTGCATTTGTCTGTAGAAAAAGAATTAATTCTTTATATTTCTTTCTCCTTTGTCTTATCTCAAATGGAATGTCTTTTAATGTTCTGATGGTATTCTCCCCCACTTTCAGGGGTGCTCCAGATACTGCTTTCAGGATTGTATCCCTCACATGCCTCTTCGAGAATCTTACCACAATTTCCCCAGGCAGATTATTTTTCTTTATATATCCTGAATATGACCTATAGGCCACATCCAT